GAAAGCGTGTAATTTAAATATCCCCCTCTCAAATATCTATTTCACCTCTTATTCTAGTTGAAGCAGCTAGATCAATGAATTTAAGATGGGAAACTCATAGTTAGATGAGAGAATTTGTTAATTGTATTTACATTTGATTTTCGATTGTAATTATTTTATCAATAAAATTGCTTCATCCTATTTTTACCTCAACAAATGGCGTCATCTATAGGAAATCGAGCAAAGTAAACCACAAATCTACCCACTAAAGTTTAGAAGCCTTAAGGATGAGGAAGAATAAATAGAATAGAAGCAAATCCAAGTATACCAAAGCACTAAAAGCCAGAACGGAGGAATTTAGCAATAGTTCGATCAAAGGAGACATAAATCCAAAGAGAAAACAAAAGAAATGCTGACAAGATCCCTAGCCGAAGTTTTCCCTATCCAACACCATCATCAAGGGAAAGGGGTGCCCACTACAAAGGCAATCCATGAAATGGCTGAAAAACTGAAGATGTTGGAGGTGGAAAATGCGCATCTACATGCAAATTATGAGAAGCGAAAAACTAACTAATAATAAAAGGAAAATCGAGGAAATTTAGCTCATGATGCTATATTCCCCCCCAAAAGCAATCATCGATTGCGAGCGTCACAAGCTTGTGGAGTTGTTCCCCGACAAGAAAATGGATAAAAAAATAGATTTGTAAATCCTCATAGAATAGAGCAATGAACCAAGAAAGCTCTCACGACTAGAGGCTTAACCAGTGGATAATCAGAGCACAAAAATATAATAATTTTGATGATAGTAATTCACTTAAAAACCAGAGGGCCATTCTACCATGGAGAATGTGATGTATCACTTACCCGCAGATTTGAGCAGTGGCCGATTTCCTTATCAACAAACGAATCTCGGAGTGATATAAAAGTTGTGAACTTAAGTAGCATCAGGCAGAAAGAAGGGGAATCTATCAGAAGTTATTTTACACAATTTAAAGATGAGATGTTTGCTAGTGGGATAGAGCCAGGTGAAGAAGCATAGGAAATGCTGTGGAACAGCCTATGATCGGGCACTATCCTCTAGAATGAGGCTCGCAAAAGGTATCCATTCTCCATTTCCCAATTAATAGACCTTATATTTAACGAGATCCAGGTAGAAGACATGCTAGAGAATCAAATGAGGATGCAAAATAAAGGGTGATAGAACAAAATCCCGATGATGAAACTAGAGGAAAAACATTGACGTTCATATATGATGTGTCCAGATCAAAGTACCACCGTTTCAAAGAATTTGGTGACCCAATATGCACTATTGTTATGCTTCACCCAACAAGGCTTCAAGCAAAGCCATGTGGTGCACATGTGGCAAAAGAATGTAGGTCGACGCCGTCATCCTAATGATGTGACAATTTTGGTCTAACCCATGAGCATCCGAACTGGTATTCATGGATTGAATCTGTAGACTGTAGCCGACCCATGGTTACTAAGGAGGATTGGCAGAGGCCTTCCAAAGAAAATCTTTGTGCAATATTCAGTAGCAAGTGGACTCACAACTCAATGAAAATATTGCTCCATTCAACCAACAAATCTAGTTTAGTCTTACATGACAGGCCTAAAGTTGCACAACTGCCATTTCACTTATTGCAGTTTGGCTTAAGAATGATTGC